CCTGAGAAACTATCTATCAGACGAATTAAAAAGATTTTTGCTGGCTCGTATCATAATTTTGCAGTTAATGATGATAACATTATTTACACATGGGGACTAAATAACTATGGCCAGTGTGGTATTGAATCATCAGATTCTTATATTTTACATTCTACGAAAGTAGAATTCTTCCAAAATTTTCACAGAGTAAAACAAATCGCTGCAGGAATGCACCATTCATTAGCACTGCTAGAAAATGGTAATTTATACAGTTTCGGCCACGCTAATTATGGGCAACTAGGTATCGGTGAGGTATCAACTGATAAGGTATCTATGCCTATTCATATTACAAAACTTGTTAATTGTCAGAAAATTGCAGTTGGTAATCATCATTCTTTGGCAGTCAATGAAAAAGTTCATATGTGGGGCTTTGGCGAAACTTATGCTTTGGAAGACACAAGTGGAGAGAATAAAAAATTTCTATTTGAAATCAATTGCACAGAGATTGGAAATAAAATTTTATCAATTTGTGGAGGTTCCCAATGCTCTGTTATATTGTCTCAATTCAACGATTAACTAAATTCATTAAAATGTCTTCAGGAAATGAAAATTTTTTATTTAATTCAAAAATTATATTTCTTTAATAAAAAATTATATATATTTTTTAAAATAAAACTTTTTGTGAAGAGAATTAAATATTTCTTGAAATATAAAAGGTGTAGTTTTATTGTATTTAATATATAATTATAAATTCACATTTGTATTATTTATAGAAATTTTTGAATTTTGAAACTCGTAATATTCTTTTTTCTTTAACTGTCTTGGTACTCTTTTTATTTAACTATTTCTTCATAATACTGGTTAATATTTTAAATTTGAGTCACAATGAATTAACTATGAATAAAATATTCTTAATTACTTTATTTTAATATATACTGAGTTTGTAATTATTTTTTTTTTTCTATCGTACTATCTTCGGAAAAAAATTTAAATATCTTATTAACAATGAAAAAACCTCTTTTTTAGCTATTTCTTCCTTAGTCCTGGTTTAATATTTTAACTTTGAAATTCGAAAACATGTGATAATCAATCATTAAATCATGTAAAGTTTAAATTAAATTTTCATTTCTCTATAATATCGATAATATCGGTACATTAATTCTACACCATTTACAGTTTACAAGAAGGCATGAAAATAGGTTTTTGTAATTATTCTCTAGAAGATATTCAAATATTTCTGAGAGGACTTCATTTGATAAACGCATGTCAAGAGAACACATTATAATATATTTTATTATAAAATTATAATTTTCCGTTCTATTTTTTTTTTTTTTTTTTTTTACAAGATCTGCACTTTTAAAGTAAAAACATCATACTATTGCATACACCGATTGCGTAACACTGTACAATTAAAATAAACTACAGTTTATTCATATGTATTGTATTCATTTATATATATTATGTACATAAACGGGATTTTATATAAAAGTATTGTATCTGGTATAAATACATAATGATAATCAATTGATTACTTGTATAAAGCTATATTTCGCATTCATGTAATAATATTCCGAATTCAAAACAAGTGTATCCATGTTTTATAACAAAGTCAAATGCTATCTTATTTTATAACTATCAACGCTAAAGGTTCAAAATTTTATATTCATAAAGATTACATAAAAAAATATCCAAAAACATATCTTTATGTTTTGATGAATTTTAATGACTTGAAATATGGTCGTGAGTAATACATATTATTTAATTAATTTTTATTTATAGTAATTTATTCGTTTCATAGAGTGTTAAGATTACGAAGATAAAAATGATTACGAAATTAATATTAATTATGAACCTTATATTTTTAATCACATATATTCGTATTATACTAGTGGAAAGTATCCAAGTTGATATAATAAAAAAATTTTAAAAGTTTTCAATTTTTTTTAATTAAATTACCTGACAGAAGATGGGAAGGAAGGTCATCTTATTTGTATAAAAAAAGTAAATTGGATTGTGAGTGTAAGTATTATAAAAGTGATTTTGATCTGTGTTTTTGTGGAAAAAAAAAGTTTATAAACGATAAATTTTGTTATTCATGTATTGAAAGTGAAAGGAAACTTTTAGAATATTGTAATAATAGAAAAAGATATGAATGGGTGTACAATGGTATAAATTAAAAAATCTTTCCTAAAATTTTTTCGTTCTGTACTGCATCGTTAAACTTGGAATCTAATTCAGCCGACATTAAAATATTTGGTGCATAACAAATATAATTCTGGTTGGAATTACAGAACCGTGATATTTACATGTTGCAATTGACATTCAGGGTTATAAATTTTATTAAAAATTATCAAGTATTAATTTAATATGTAAAAAATAAAAACTTGTCTTTTTAGTCTAGTTTAATATTTTAATTTTAAAGTTCGAAAAGTGTGTTGTGAATGCATTTATTATACCATTTCTTTATTATGATTCGAATAGATATTATCAATTTAATTGTCACATATTGTACAGATGGCCAATCATAGCATATTATTCAATTTCATGTGATCAACTAATCATGAGAACAGTTGGGCCCATCAATAGAAAAAAAATCAAATTTTAAAGCTATCTTGATTAATTAATATTCAAAAAAAAGCGTATGATCAAAGCTTTTTTTTGAATACTAGATAATCAAGATAGCTTTAAAAGTCATCAAGATATGAGCTGTAAAAGTTAAGGTATTAATTTTTTTCAATTGACAGCAGCTTAGTTGATCATTTGGCCCAGGCAATAAATTTTAGCCTGGGCCAAATAATCTGCAAATTTGACCAGAATTAACCAATTTTTTTGGGGTTTGATCGACAAAAATCATTAAAATCAGCCTATACGTCATCTCGCATTTTGTTTACACAAACTTTGTGTTACAAAGTAGTTTCATCATGTCCAAACTTAGACCCAAACCAAGACCCAGCACTACTTCTAGTGAAGCGCAAAAATTGTTTTCTGCTTATTTACAGCAAGTTAACGAAAATGACTTGTCTATAACAAGCTTTATAAGGTTTTGCTCACAAAAAAAAAGTATAACCTTCAAAGACCAAGATCCTTTACTAGATGTGTATTTACGATCATTTGAATTTTTAAACAAATATAAGTATATTAATTCTGATATTTAAAATATAATAATTATTTAATAATTTTATATTTATAGCCACACATTGTAAACTATTAGTGGAGTTGCAAAAAGTATTAAAAAACAAATATAAGAAGCAATGTGTCAATGAAATCATCAATAATTACTATGTGAGTGTAATTTAAGCCATATCTTATATCGTTAGCATTTGAATGAGAACCTGGCAAGTATGAACAATATTGTAAGGACTTATTGTTCTGGTGCCTGGATTTGTTAGGTTTAGCGGGTATGAATGTAGTTATACTTTCATACTAAGAGCTTATGGTTCTGGTGCTTGAATTATAAAAATCTGGCAGGTATAAACTTTTTTATGCTAAGATTGTAAGTAACCTATTGTTCTGGTATCTGGATTTGTCAGGTTCAGCGGATATGAATGTGATTATATTTTCATACTAAGAGCTTATGGTTCTGGCGCTTGAATCTGGCAGGTATAAAATTTTTTTTTATGCTAAGATCATAAGTAACTTACTGTTCTGGTGCCTGGATTTGTCAGGTTCAGCGAGTATGAATATGATTATATTTTCATACTAAGAGCTTATGGTTCTGGCGCTTGAATTTATGAGAATCTGGCAGGTATAAATTTTTTTTTATACTAAGATCGTAAGTAACTTACTGTTCTGGTGTCTGGATTTGTCAGGTTCGGCGGGTATGAATATAGTTATATTTTATACTAAGAGCTTATGAGAATCTGGCTAGTATAAGTAACTTGTCAGGTTTAGTGGGTATGAAATAATTTATATTTACTACACTAAAATATTTATTATTTTTAGAAAGACATTGTAGAAGTTAAATATCTTGAGCAATGGTTAAATATTTTGAAAAATAAGGCTAATAACAAAGAAAATGAACTTTGTGAATTGAAAATGTATAGTATGTATTGCAAAAAATCAATTGCATATATCAATATGTTACATGTCATTTTTCAATTCCCGTTATTTCAGAATTGACATGTGTTATTTTTTAGTCTTCACTGATTGAAAAATAACCTAAGTTAATTTATCTTTTTAATATTACTTTCACTTTAAAAAAAAAGTTTGCTAATAATATACATTATTTTTAAATTTGCAATGACGTATATTAATCCTGAAATGACAAAATAATTATCAAAATAATTTTTTTTATAAAAATAAAATCCACGATTAAAATTAGGGTTAGGGTGAGGCTTAGGATTTCATCTAGGCATTAGTATATGCAAAATTTAGCGAGAAATCTTTTTTGTTAGAGTGTAGAAGATAGTTTCATAATCAAAATTTTGAGTTATTAGGGATTTCTTTAAAAAAACTTGCATTTGTTTTGATTTCACGTTACACCTGATCCTAAAATTTGATTGGCTTTATTGGATAGCTACATTTTCCAAAAATAATAACTAAAAATAATAACTAAAAATAATAACTACAAATCATAACTACAAATCATAACTACAAATAATAACTACAAATAATAACTACAAATAATAACTACAAATAATAACTATTTGGCTTGTCATATTGCCATGGCTATTGTTTTAGCTATTGGTTATTTTTTTATTTAATAATTAAAAGTCAATGACACACTCTTCAAGATAGCAGATTTTTTTAAAATTATCATTTTCTTCTTTATCTATTTTTTCAAGATTATAAATCTTCTCTTTAGTATCCCTTTTTATGTTTTTGAATAAGCAGCATCCATTATGTACAAAACCCTATGAACTGATTTTATCAATTCCTATAAAATTTTTGAAATAACTAAAATATTATAAAGCAATAATTTAACTTAAAAAAGGTTAACTTACCAAATAAAAATGCATAAAAAGTTAAAATAATTCCATAATAACCAAAAATAGATCCGAGTATATATATAATCTATTATAATGGCAATTGGTATCAGCATACAACAGATTATTTAAAAAATAAAACCTGAATAGAATACTTACACTATTACTCCTATTGCATATTTCTATCATTGTTTATTATGAATGTAAATATGTGATAAATAGATTTACTAAGATGATTTTTACCTTTGTTCTTATTGCTCTTCTATTATAAGGCTTTGCGTGGTAATCTCTATTTTAATATTTGTAGACAAGTTATTTTGGAGTATCTCTGTGGTTATTTGACAACAATACAAACAATATCAATATTTAAAAGGTTGCATGATGCAATAAGGTTTTTTAAAACTTAAATTCGTACGTATATTCAATTCAATAAAATGCTGTGTTTTGTATGTTGATTTGAAACCAATATAATTTAAAACTATATTATCTATAATTCTTTTTAATTTTTCAGAGTAACTTACTATATAATGCTGTATTATTTTTAATAATAAATTGTTATTGATTTGATATTTATTCTTTTTCTGAAATGACAATCTCAAGTATATATACAAGACCATTTACTAAATAATATCTATTTGTGGAGGTAAGTGATTTGACAAAAGGAGTTGCTTCACTATTAAAATTATTACTCCACGGATCATATTCTATTATTTATAATTACAAAACAAAATATATTCAAATGTTTACTATCCATTTATGATAAATTTCACCTGAATCAAATATATTCATTTGTATATTACTTAAGGTTTCATTAATCGTTATTAGAAGACTAAAAGATGCTATTCCATTTCCGTCAAAAGAGGACAAGTTAAATTGGCCTTCATTCAAAAAATTTGAAAACCATCCAATATATGGGCAGAAAGAGTTAACTTTGGTGTATATTTTTGGTTGTGTAATATATTTATTACAGGATTGGTCTTTGAGTTAGATATGTGAAATAATAATAAAATAGTTATAAATTAATCCATTATGAAAAGAAAGCAATTAATTATAAAATAATTAAATAATCTTACTTATATCACTATCGAACATACAACTAATATTAAATGGAATTGCAGCAAATAAATAGATATCTGCATATTTATGATTTTGATATTTAGAAAACATATCATTTGATTTTGGTTTTTTTTTCAACTCAACAAAAATTATTTTACCTGGTGCAAGTATGCTAGGAAATGCTGTAAACTTTGTGCTAATAGTAGGCTGTTCATCAGCCAGCTTCATAAACAATACAACAGTGAAAACCAATAATATTACAATTGATATAAAAATAAAAATACATCGAAAATATAAAACACATGATGGTTCAGGTTTGTATGGATCTTTGAGAAGGTCGATCAGCATTTTTTTTTTCTTGATTATGTTAACTAGGTGCTTGAGTTGCTTAAAGGGAGCTTGAGATGAGTGTATTGTATTATTAATTCTTTCCTCTTTAGGAAAAATAATAAGATAATGAAAGATTTGCATCGGGATAGGGTAAATATTTACTTGGTTTGATATTGATGAAACGCACATGATCTCCTGTTGAATTAAATTGTAATACATAAGTAGTTGCATTTAGATGTGTTAAATCCAATTGCAGATTTCAGTTTACAAAACGGATCAAGATCAGATCAATAGATCATTTTAACATCCTAGTTGCATTGTTAAATATGATTGTCGTTTGCTTGAATTTGGTCTTATATTTGTTTGTTATTTATCGAAGTTTTATTTCAAATAATATACAGTGGC